AATAGCACACATAAATATTGAAATTTAATTATATTTAGTACAAATAATTAAATATATAAGATCTTATCGAACTCCATCCAAATTTAAACACTTAAAATTCTAATCACAATATTTCAAAATTATATAAAAATAAGTTGACATCATATGAGATGTACAATTAGGAGCTCATAATAATATTTAAGTGAGTGAATTTGAATCTCACATATTCAAATTGTATTACTAACCGTACTCACTTTCAAATCAATAGCCAAACTTAACTCCTGAAGCACATAATTTAAAAGGGGTACTCAAAATATATAATCATGGATAATTTTTTTTTCAAAAATATATCTAAATAAAATATATCTTAATTTTTTATAGTCTTTTCTTTTTTTATTTTTATTTTTGCATTAATTTATTAATTTGAATTATATCTTTATTAACTTACTTTAATTTATGATTCATTTCATCCATTGATATGATGAGAAGAGAAAATTTACCTTTTGTTTGGATTAGAAAAAAGGCTGAGAGAAAAGAGAGATAAAAAGAATGAAAAGAAGAGAAAATTGAGAAGAAAATATTATCTCTTATGGTGTTTGGATAAAAAAAATATAAAGAAAATAAAATGAATGAGTATTACAATGATTGCAATTATTTATTTCAAAATATAGTATATTTCATATAATTTTCTTTATAAAAATAAATTGAAGGAAAAATTATACCAAAATCAACCTCTTCAAAATAATTTATAAACAAATTATTTATTTAAAATATATTTTCATATTATTATATTTTAAAATCAAATAATTTAATGAAAATATATTATTTTTCTATTTAAAAAATAAAAAGAAAATAATTTATTAATTAAAGTTAAATACAATACCACTTAAGGTTATTTTGATTTCAATATATATTAAAAAAAAGTCCAATACAATATCCTAAAATAAAAAATTATAAAATCATCAAAAGTGAAATTCAAAAGAAAAAGTAGAAAAGGGAAACAAAAATAAAATTAATTATCAGTTGCTTTGCCTAATCTAATTGTTAGCATGAAATAAATTATATATATCAAAGAAATTGAAGAAAATGAAGAGACTTACTAATAAAAAGACGTGAAAATTTTAGAAGATAAATAGGCATGATGATAAATCTTATACGATTGGCAAAAAATTCTATACAAGTTGAATTGTTTAATGAAGTTTACTCAGCCATATTTTAAAGATGAATTATTCAAATCATGATATGCTAGTCACACCTTATAGGAATATATAAACTATTTCTATCCTGCAACAAAACAAAACAAATATCAATGAAATGAATAACCCAAACAAAACAAAATAGAAAATGATTAATTCTCATATAAATTATTGAAGAGACAAAAAATAATAATGAGGCCTATGAATATACAATGGCCTCAGAAATAAATGAAATACAACAACAAAAACTAGAATTGATGAATGAACATGTATCTAGTCTGCTCTATTTATAATCAGTATCAAGGCTAATGTTGGAAGGAATTTTAAATTTGAACTTTCAATCAAATAAAATTTAAATTAAATTAAAATCCAAACAAAATAATTAATCAACAACTGAAGCAATGATTATCATTAATATTAACATATATAAATTAAAATTGAAATTCAAGCTGTCAATTTATAATCTCAATATAGTTTAAATTTAAACTTAAATTTGAATATATTTTATAATAGTTTTCTTTTTAAATTAGTAGATTTCTTATTATCCATTATTTAATTATATAATGATATAATAATATGATCAAAAATATATTTTTGTTTAGATTATATACTTCAAAAAATATATTGTTACTAAAAAATAATAGAATAAAAACATATCAAGAGCTAATAGGTTGTTCTTAAATTTTGGTCATCTGAATTTTTTTTCGCACCTTAATTTTCTATCAAAAACATTTAATATTGAAATAATTTTTTACTACAGCAAAAAAATAGAGACAAATTTCAAAGAACCAAGAATGAACATTATAAAAAAAATAGAGTTAATAGACCATTCTTAAAATTCGTTCATTTTATTTTTTGTCCATGTTAATTTTTGATTAAAATTTTTAATATTAAATATATAAAAATGTTGATTTGAATTTCAAACAAATAGACCTTACATTTTTAATTCTAACCGACACATTCATAATTTATTATAAAATAGATATTAATTTTTCTAGACAAATTTTTTAATTTAAAGAATTTTATTTAACAGGAATAATTTAACTGCATATATAATGTGTTTTACTTCAATATTTTTTTAATCATGTTTCTTTTTAATACATTTGCAATCAAAACAGATAGATCTAGCTAAAGAAAAATGTTAAATAGATTTTACGGAAGATTTCAAAAATAATATGCATATTTGAAGCTTAATTGTAGGAAATTATTAGGATAGATAAAAAATTTTAAACACAAGTTCTTTTATATATATATATATATATATATTTTCATATTAATTTAGATTCAAATAGATAGATATTTGAAAAAAAAAACTCCACATACATGGCAAATCACTTTTAATAAAATATAATTTTAGAATTGTATGAAAAATAAAAAATAATAATTTTCAGCATATCTTTAGGGTGGATGAAAACTTTAAATAGATAGATATTAATTTGAATCTAAATAATTTTTGTATACATTTAAAAATTAATAATTTACCCTGCATCTAACTCCAAACCTAAATAATATATTTTGTATATATTAAAAAATAATAAATAATTTTGAATCTAACTTCAAACCTGACTTTGGAGCACAAAATCACAAGAAAACCATCCCAAAGCATAGAATTATAACAAACCTGAAAATAGACACGTGGCATTTTGTCATAACCTTTAACCTTACTTTTATATATAATGATTTTAGACGGCCCAAATATTCAAATTTTATTTTTAAAATTATTTTTAATTAAATTTTTTACTTTAAAATTAATTATTTTATTTTATAAAAAATATAAAATATATTTTTTAATAATTAAACTATGTATGAAACTCAGATATATGATATTTTAGTGTAAAATAACTTAAAACTTAAATAATCAATTAATATTTATTACACTTTATATGGTTTTAAAAGTAAAAATTTTTATTTGGGTATTCGGGTCAGCTCGAATAGGCTGAACAAAAAAAATTATCTTTCTTTCAAGCCTCATCTTAATTTTTTACAGGTGAGTTAGAGCTAACCTCTCAGACTTGACTTAAATTTTCAACTCTATCAACAGTCATGTGCAACATCAACTAGTAAAATAAGATAAAGAAAACTATTAGGAATTGTGTCTAGGGAAAGAGACTTGCCTTTCAAAATAATATTGTAAATTAAAATTAAAATTTAAAAAGGAATAAATTGACTCACTGGCCAAAAAAATTTGTACCAAGAAAATATATGTCAAATTTTTAAAAATTTAGAAGTATAGTCCTTTGACATTACATTAATATACAATATGTTTATTGTTGATATATAAATGGTTTATCTTTTAAAATTCAAAAATTTAAAAATAATTTATTATTAATATACAATAATATATTATTAATAAATATAATAAATTAATTATAATACAAAATATAATAAATATCAGAATATTTGTTTGGTTTTTTCCTATGACATTGACTCTACTAACAAAAAGCCCTTAAAAAAGATTTTAACTCTTTCATCCAAATCGCTGCCCTCCAGGTTGGGCCTTTGATGAATTAGGACCACTAGAAACTTGCAGTCCAACTCCACATTGCACCTAACCCCAAGTCGTGATTACGTACTATCCACCAACGGGAGTTGATTCGAGTGGTAAGTGACTCGGTTCCGCTTAAACAAGATCTTGAGTTCGAGTCTTGTGTATGCAAAAAATTCTCACTGGGAGACTCACCCACCATGCCAGGTGCGCGACGTGGGTTAGATTCGGATATAGTCGAGGCAAAGCTTCAGTGAACCGGGTGGGCTACCAAAAAGATTACACACTACCTTGAATATAATTACATTGACCATTTCGCCCGCATCATCAAGAAGAATGAATTCAATCCCATTGTGCATATTTAATTACTCCCTCCCAATATTATTATAGGACATTTTTAATAATTTTATGTTTTTTAAAAAATTTATTTTTTTATACTAAAGTATTGTTTTAATATTTTAATTGTATATAAGGTTTTAATTTAGTTTTTTAATTTTATAAAGTAATTTTTCAGTCTCTTAACATCATTAATTTCAGATAATTATTTTTATATCAATTATTATTATTTCAAAAAGAATTAAATTTAATATGTCAATATTTAAAAATATTTTACAAATATTTAAAAGTTCAATGTAAAAATATTTTGTGATGAAATTAACGGTCTTAAGATTAAAGAACTGAAAATATACCTTATAAAATTAAGGAGTCAAAATTAAATTTTGTTGAAATTAAAATATTAAAGACATACTTTAATCTTTTTTTATATCATAAAAATGATATATCCTTTTATTTTTATTTTTTACTTTAAATAATAATACAACAACATTAAATACTTTTACACTAATTAAAAAAGAATAAAATTAGAAAAAGTAGTTTAATTATTATAAAATATCCTACAATTAGATCAAAAATTATTTATAAAAGATATTTTATAAATAGAATCAGAGAGAGAGAGTATTAACTAATTACCATTCTTAAGATTTTCATGTTCCAAGATCTCTCTTTTTTCAAATGGCTAGCAAGACATATTTGTTATAATTGTTTTGTTATCTACAACCGAAAATATATAAACAATACATAGATTGGGATTCGATAAGTGTAGATATTGAGTAATGTAAGCCATTTAAATTCATATAATTAGTTTAAATAAATTCACCCATTTTATTTATTAATTTTAAGTGAGTATGAATTTAGAATTATTGATATGAATTTGAATGCCACATGCCTATATCCAAATCTTTCACAATACATACATTAATGAATAATTTGAACATCCATCGTACAAACAAAACATTCCTAAGACAAAGAGTAATAATAATTATAAAACAATTAAATGCTGTCTAGTTACTGTTTTCTTCACCCGGCCGTCCACGAAACACATCGTAGCTCGCCGACCGTCGCGTTCCTCTGTGATTCACGAACCTGAGATTCTGCCTCTCCAAGTCCTTCCTTCCGAACTCACCCCATCCCACAGAGTGACCCGTTGAATGACACCTCACCAAACTTCTTCTCCTGTCTCCTGAATTAAGCTCCGTAGATCTACTCGTAGAACCTTTATAATCGAACTCGTGGTGTGCATTTGTGACCTCACAGGGAATTTCTATCACGACGTCGTTTTCACGTCGGTGATTCTCTTCCGCCGCCGCCGGCTTCAGCTTCATGCGACAAACTGGGCAAGTCACGTGGGAGGCCAACCAGGCGTCGATGCATTCAGAGTGAAACACGTGGTTACATGTCGGAAGCAATCGGAGCTTATCTTGGTGATTGAACTCGCTCAAGCACACGGCACACTCCGGCGAGGCACTACCAAGTTTAAGTTGTTTCACGGCGGAACATGGAAGGATGGGGAAGGTGGCGAGTACATTTGGATGGATACCTTGAAGCCTACTTGAGTAAAAATTGCCGGTAGTGCCGCTCCGGCTACGACGGTACATACCGGAGCAGTGGCGAAGGTAGATGGAGAAGCAGCCGACGAACAAGAAGACGAAGACGATGGCTACGACGGTGGGATCCAATAATGGGACCCGTTTATCCGAGTGGGCATGGACGGCCGATGATAGAAGGAAGAAGACGACGACGTGTGGGAGTAGTGTAATTCTCTTGGTCATTTGGATTGAGTTAATCGGAAACCCAGTGAAATAATGGATAGTGAAAGTGATTAGTGAGAGAGTCTATATTATATATGATATACATGCGAACAATAAGATCGAGAAAGACCCAAACCAGAATACAGATCAGAATATTCTGGTAGTTGAGTGTTGCAATCATTCAAAACAATTTGCATGATCAAGTAAAATGATACATATATACATGTACATATACATATATGTATATATATATATTTATATATATTATTGAACTGGTGTTGACTTGCGTTGGAGATCCTTAGCTATTCGAACAAAAACCAAAAGCGGAACACTGGTTTTAAGAGAAGCCTCTGGTTTTGTTAATTATAATAGTTTGACCAAATCAAATAGTCAATGCATGTCAGCATATAGATGAGAAAATATAAAATATTTGGAGAAGAATTATCCTTGATCTCCTTATTACGTTCCGGATTTCAAATTCTCGGAGAGATCATCTAAATAAGTATAGCTCTCATCAAATCCTTGATCGAGTTCTAAGAGTGATCAGCTGAGTAATTACCTAGGAAAGATGATTCAAAAAGTTGATGGTCTATTCATTCTTAGAATTAAAGTCTAATTTTATTTATGTATTTATTTTTCAGGAGTATGGGATACTTTATACTTTTAAGTAGAGCAATTTTTTCCTGAAATATCTTTTTGAAGTCTAAAAACACTTTTTTGTTAGAAGGTTGTTAAGTTTTTCATTTTCTACTAATGTGGATATATGTGAGGCTCATGTATAGTGATAAATAAGATTTTAACCATCTTTTTTTTTTGTGTTAATTTAATCTTGAACTCTTTTTTTCAGAAGCATTGGGTACCCTAAATTTTTTTTTAAAAGCACTGAGTATCTTAAAGTCTTTTTAAAATAAAAATTTAATAAATATTTCCAAACTATTAAATATTTTCATATTGAATAATTTAAATATTATTATTTATAAATAATCATTCAAAATTTATAAATTACTATTTAAATATTAACAACTCAAACTAACATTTTATAAATTTATAGATAATTTCTTAATTTTTTATATATCGATCTTTTCTTTAAAATAGTGCCCACTGCACAAATTGTTATACTTTTTGTGCGTGTCAGAACTTATTTATATTTTTAAAATTGGTTAAGTTCTTTAAATTTTTAGATCATTTTCTATAACTTTTTTGTCAAGTGTTATCTTCCTCCAAAATATTGTACTACTCAAATTTAATATTCTCTATATATTATGATGTTAGAAATAAAATCAGAAACATGATAAATTAGGACCAACAACATTGGAACAAAAATGTTAATTTAAAGGATATTGCTTATTTCATTAATGTACTATAAAAAAAGTTACTTAACAAAAGAAAAATGGAGAGATGAGAAGAAAAAATTCCTTCTTTATTTTGAAAGTTTATCCCATTCATTTTTAATACAAAATTATAAAATATAAAAAATATTAAAATATTAAATTGAAAGGTGTAATGTTTAAAATAAAATACTTAATATTTTAATAATATCATTAAATTTTATTTTAACAAGACTTCATGGTGCCCAGCGATCTTAGAAAGAAAGTTCAGGGATAAATTAATATTAAAGGACATGATCAAAGTCTTATATGTTATTGTGCGTGAGTCCCATACATTTGCTACATCAATAAAAGTGAAAAACTTAACAATTGACTAACGGAAGGTGTATTTTTCTCCTTAAAAAATAATCCAAAGGTAAAATTGCTTCAGTTAAGATTATAAAGTATCTAGCACTTCTAAAAAATAAATAAAGAAATAAAATTGGACTTCAACACTCATTTCTAAATTACGGGATTTTAAATTCAAGTCTCATGTAATGGCCAAAAAAAAAAAAAACTTCAAGTCTTTCGTATGGACAAAATTGCGAACGAGAGATGTTTACATCCTTGTGATCTAACGTCATCACTCTTTCAGAAATAACATATAAAAAAATAACATTTGCCTCATAGGATTTATTTGTAATTCTAAAAAATTAGTTCATATAAATTTTTATATGATACTCATTTGCAATTTTATTTTTTTAAAAATTTTTGAAATTATTTTTTATAATTTTTTTGCTTCAACTAACCGTAAAATTAACTTTCTGTTAATGCTAAGGGAAAATTACACTTTTTTTTATCAACAGTTAAAGAAAAATATTATACAAAATATAAGTGTAGAGTTTCAGACACTCATAAATGAACTTATAATTTAAGAGTAAAATTACCCTTTAACTCATTAGTTAATTAAAACCAGTTAACTTTTTGTAAAAAAAAAAAAAAAAACAAAACATTTGTTTGTGCATATGTAATACGACTTAAAGCTTGGCTATCAACCAACACGCCAATATCTTCTTTGCTATTTAGAAGGATTTGAGAAGTTCCTAATTCTTATTTTTAAAAATAATTAATTATGTCAACTTTACTTTTACCCATAATTTTTAAAAAATATTTTAAACATGTTAGACAATTCAAATTAATTTAACAATAATCAAATTTTATTCAAAATGACAGTTGCCATCACCAGAGGCCATTCCCTACATTAATAATCTGCTGCTTGCATCCTTTTTTGTAGTTTCTTTTAATTTTAAGTTTATTGTAATTTATCTCTTAACAAATTAAATGTGTAGTCTAATCTTTTTCTTATATTCTCTGGCAATTTAAATAAGTAAGGACGCTAATTTAAATTGAATTAAAGGGTAAAAGTGTTCTAAAACTTTTTTATGAGGTTTTCTGGTATTTTAAATTTTTTTAATCTCAAAATTTTTAAAAAGAATACAGCTTTATCCTGCTTCAATATTGACCATTAATTGAGAAGCCTCATCTTCGATGCTTATCACAAAATAAAAATTATAAAACAATTTTAATAAATTTTTTATTTTCAATTTAATCCAAATTAATTTAAATTATTTAGTACATATTTAGATAGTCAATATATAATAATTATAAAAATTTTAATATTAAATTAGATCATTCAAATTAAATTTAAACTAGATTAAAAATAAAGAAATATTAAACTTATTTTATAATTTTTATAAATTTTTATTTTAATAAATATAAAAAATAATATTTTAAATGTGGATCAAACGTGAAGTTAGGTTGATTATCAGGTGAGTATTTTTAATATATATATATATATATATATTTTTAAAGGACAGATCCATGTCATGACCAAGCCACTCTGAAGACTACACTCCATAACACCCTTCTCATGTTCTGCATCTTGGTCCACGAACCTTGACCACTCAATCCATTCATCACCCATATGTCAATCAACATGTTCAGACCCAAAACAGAACAGCAAATCAAAGAGATGAGGCAAAGAGTTGTTTCTGGGTTGGGATTTAATTCTAGAAATACCTTGAAGAATAAAAATGATTGATTCTGGATCCATCGTTACTGAATATTATAATGAAGGTCTTGAAGCGAGCATTTAACAATCTTACCCTTGTCAGTCGTTCCCCTTTACGCTTCTTTTTTTCCTCTTCTCGAACGATCTCTCGTTTCATTAATCCTCATCTGTCGCTGGAGAATATTACGATGAATTCGCCGGAAGCACCAAAACTCTCGCTTCGCCGCCGTTTCGCTTCATTTTTAACCCTTTAGTTTTCTACTTCCAAATCTTCCCATCAAGCTTCGGCTGCCCTCTCCTCCGTCGCCGAAGAAATCCACCCACAACTTAGGTTTCTTCTTCACCGAAACTGCCCTCTCCTCCGTCGCCGACCAAACCCATCTACCATCTGCTATTGCTGGTTTTGGATCTAGAAGAAGAGGGTGAGAGAAGGAGTACAAGTCAGCCAGCTATGTCACTCTTCAAATGTTCGGGCAAGTTCAAATAAATAAATAAATAAATAAAATTGGAGAATCAAACCACCAGCCTCAAAAGAGTCAAAAATTGCACTACAGGCTCAATAGGTTTTGTTATTGCATTTTAGGGCCAAGGGCTCTTGTTGTAATTTTTCTTGAAAGTAAAAGTACAATTTTGCCCTTATGTGATTTGAAAACTCAAATCATGTACAACATAATATCCATTGATGCACAACACATGTTTATAGATATCAATTGATTAGTAAGTTTAATAAAATGTACGAGTGATGTACACAATATATAACACAATGTCCATGAATGTACGACTAAATGTCCATATATTCTCAACTAAATGTCTATGTATGGACAAACATGGATTATTATCTTGAGAATTTATAAATATTGTATTGTGCATCTATGGATATCGTATTGTACATGCAAATAATATTGTCAATATTGTGTTGTGCATCCATGGATATCGTGTTATGTATAATTTGAATTTTCAAATCACATAAGGGAAAATTTATACTTTTGTTCCCAAAATAATTTGGAACAAGAGCCTTTAGGCCTGTACTGCAATATCAAAATGTATTGAGTTCAAAATGATATTTTATGCTATTTTAGGGCTTGCAGTGCGATTTTAAAAGAAAAAACAAAAAGGAAAATATCAACCAACACATTAGAAAAAATTTACATTGAATGCAAATCAATAAATATTAAAATTATCTTGCAGTATTTTGATTTTTTAAATGAAATTAATTTTCTGCATAAAATAACTGAATTGTGTTTAAAATTTAAAATAAAAAAATCACCTCCACTATTATTGTTGCTTGTTGTTGGACCACTACCAGAGACCCTCTCAGTTGCAAGATCGTTGAAGCCCTTGCGACTGATAGGGTCACTGGCAACTGGTCATTGGAGGTCCAGAAGTCTGGCACCGATGACACTTTTGGCGTGTTTCACACAAGATAACTAGCTTTCCCGGACCAATCATGTCACTTTTCTATGGGTATGAATTATGAAACCATAAATAAAAAATAAATAATGACAAGGCATAGTTTATACCATGTTTGAAAAGCTACTTGCAGACTTGAATTTGAACCAACTTAATTTTGCAAAATTGATTTTTACAAATCTACCCCCTTATTTAAGTAGGAGGACGGGAATTGTAACTTGGAGCGAAATTTT